CTGCGCGCCCGAGGGTGAGCCTCGACCCGAGGGACACGAGACGCGGGCAGCAGGCGGGGAAGGGGAGGTCCAAGCCCCTGCGATCCCTGGCGACCAGCCAGCACCCACCCGTGGGGAAAATGCTGCCGCCGCCGCAGGCAGCACGGGGTTGAGGACTACTCAACTACTTTTTCACATGAGACATCCTTCCGACGTTCTTACATGCATGGGGAAAAAACCCTAATCGTTCTCTAGTTCTCTAATGACATCCTTTACAAGATTGAGCCCTGTTTCAATGACGCCTCAACAATCATGTTTCCTTTATAAAAAGGCAGCGCAGTTTATGCTGTATGTGCGTTAGGATGCTAGGGCGCCTCATACACCACATTGCCGACACTGTTTCACACAATTTCTTATATGGCTCCAGAAATGCGCTTAAAACCGGGACACACGGACTGGAGGACTGCAGAAGTACATTCGCACACCCCATTTGCTTGGGACGTCCTTACATGAAGGAAAAGCACCTACTCCTTCATTAGCTCTGTAAAGACATGCTCGCCAAGCTCGATGTTTGTTTTCAATGCCACCTCAAAGAGCACGTATCCTCTCAGGCGTGACGCAGCACAGGCCATACTACATCTGCGTTAGAACGCTATCCTACTTTTAAACCAATAGCTCAGCATTGCCCACTCTAAGGAGTACAAGCAGATTAGACTGCGCTCCGTTGTAACCACAAACCTGCTGCAGTGGAATGGTGAGATAAGTGTATGGAGCTAGTTACCGGGCTTTGAAGCCCATTCGAGATAAAAAAGGAAATCTTCTGCCGAAAACTTCTCCAACTGAGGGGTTTGCAGCTCTTCTGACAACTTTCTCGTTCATTTCAGTGTAAAAAGGTGGTTACAGCGCTTGAATGCACATTCGTGGAGATAGCAAATCTTTTGCAGATCTGGGATCTCATTTAAAATGAGCCAATACATCTTTGGCTTAATACGCTGTAACTACAAACCTACTAGAGGGGAATGGTAAGATAAGTGTTTGGAGCTAGTTACTGGGTTTTTGAAGCCCATTCCGGGGCACAGACGAAAGCTTCTGTCGAAAACGTCTCCAACTGGGGGGTTTGCAGCTCTTCTGACAACTTTCTCGTTCATTTCAGTGTAAAAAGGTGGTTACAGTGCTTGAATGCACATTCGTGAGATAGAAAATCTTTTGCAGATCTGGGATCTCAGTTAAGAAGAGCCAATACCTCTTTGGCTTAATACGCTCTAACTACAAACCTACTAGAGGGGAATGGTAAGATAAGTGTTTGGAGCTAGTTACTGGGTTTTTGAAGCCCATTCCGGGGCACAGACGAAAGCTTCTGTCGAAAACGTCTCCAACTGGGGGGTTTGCAGCTCTTCTGACAACTTTCTCGTTCATTTCAGTGTAAAAAGGTGGTTACAGTGCTTGAATGCACATTCGTGAGATAGAAAATCTTTTGCAGATCTGGGATCTCAGTTAAGAAGAGCCAATACCTCTTTGGCTTAATACGCTCTAACTACAAACCTACTAGAGGGGAATGGTAAGATAAGTGTTTGGAGCTAGTTACTGGGTTTTTGAAGCCCATTCCAGGGCAAAAACGAAAGCTCCTGTCGAAAACGTCTCCAACAGGGGTTTGCAGCTCTTCTGACAACTTTCTCATTCATTTCAGTGTAAAAAGGTTGTTATTGTGCTTGAATGCACATTCGATGAGATAGCAAATCTTTTGCAGAACTGGGATCTCAGTTAACGGGAGCCAATACATCTTTGCCTTAAAACGCTGTAACTACAAACCTACTGGAGGGGAATGGTGAGATAAGCGTTTGGAGCTAGTTACTGGGTTTTTCAAGCCCATTCGAGATAAAAAAGGAAAGCTTCTGCCGAAAACTTCTCCAACTGAAGGGTTTGCAGCTCGTCTGACAATTTTTTCGTTCATTTCAGTGTAAAGCTAGTTACAGTGCTTGAATGCACTTTCGTGGAGATAGCAAATCTTTCGCTGACCTGGGATCCCAATTAATGGGAGCCAACACATCTTTGGCTTAATACGCTGTAACTACAAACCTACTAGAGGGGAATGGTGAGATTAGTGTTTGGAGCTAGCTACTGGGTTTTTGAAGCCCATTCCAGGGCAAAAACGAAAACTTCTGTCGAAAACGTCTCCAACTAAGTGGTTTGCAGCTCTTCTGACAACTTTCTCGTTCATTTCAGTGGAAAAAGCTGGTTACAGTGCTTGAATGCACATTCGTGGAGAGAGCAAATGTTTTGCAGAACTGCGATCTCAGTTAACGGGAGCCAATACATCTTTGGC